GCTGCTTAACAGCTTAGGCTGCTTTGCTTCTCCCTATATCTTATTCCCTTAAAGGCAGCGAACAACAGTAGACGCATCGAAAATGTGCATTGCATTACAAAAGTTTGTGTTAGAGTAAGTGGCACGGGCAGGTATACTGAGACGAGGGTAAGAAAAAAAGTAACTTGGTCTGATGATTCTAGCGCTAATGGCGCCAGCCACAACGATTGGCATCCTTACTTACAAGACTGAGGAGGATGCATGAAGTCATGGTTAAAAAAACGGCAATTCAACATTAAATAATGAGCAACAAACAAATAAGCATTGGAGGTTGGCGTTCTCAATCCCTTGCCACGGCAGAGTTCACGACCTACCTGCTTATGCACCTAAAGCAGCCCTTGCTGCTTTTTTGGACAAGGGAAAAATGTTGTTAAAATGTGGGAAGATTCGTCACAGAACCAACAAGAAACTGGTGGTCAATATGTTAACTGAATGGTTTTCTGGGATCACAGTGCAAGCTAAGCTGCGCTTGTTTTGTGAACCTTGGCCCCGTCATTTGAAGGCGAAATTCCGATTCAAAGGCATAATTCTGTGGCAAAGCTTTACATGTGACTTTCAGCACAGTCCATCCCTTCCTGTAACGTCATCTGATGTTGGGCGGCCGCTTTCGACGGCCGGAGGTCATCCGAGCCAGGGGCAAAGAGCAAACACTGATGTGGTTCGAATTCACCCGCCGCGCCACGGTTAGGATGGTAGGCGGGGGCGCTGACCGACTGGGCTACGGAGCGGCCGCTCATCCATATTGCTTGAAATCGACCCGTGTTTATGGGTCCTTATGCGTCTATGAACGGTTGTCCTTGTCGGTTCATGTTCTGCCGTCGTTCAAAAACAGAAAAAAACCTCAAGTATGCAGTACGTTGGCCGAGCTCCAAGCATATTTTCTACGCAGTTCTCTTGATACCATGCCCCGACCATCGTCTCGGATGGCATTTTCTGTTGGTGCACGACATATGCCACCTGTGGCATAGATGTCCGTCCCGATGGCTTAGTTGGTAAGAGCCCCTGCCTTCTGGTCCACTCGCACGTGACATGGTGGGTTCGAGTTGCTTTAGGCGCTCGCTAGTTGTCCTTGACAGCTATGGTATACGGCCGCTGGCAGCTGTCGCATTAAAGGTCAAATGACGTCAGAGGGCAGAACGGATCGTGCCGAGCATTGCGGCACGTCAAATTCTTGACACTAAACTCTGTCATTGACTTGGAATTGCGTGATCGGATGGCAGGGGCCAGGGCTCACTCATCAAGCATTGCTTAGCGTGAGGTCTGATCCCAGGTATGCATCCATTCAAAATATTCGGACTAAACCTTAAACATTTGCTTGTTTCCCATTTAACATAAGAATGTTCGTCTGTATGTCTGTTCGCGCACATTTGTTAGCCAAGCGTCCAGCATAAGCTGGGGCACACATTGTCCACAGACGACGGATTCTCAGCCTTTGCGCCGACCCGCGACGTGAAGGCAGGGCACATGTTTTGGAGTTGAGCAGGGAGATGTCCTTTGTTTATATAAGGGACAAGTCGTGCAAAAGTTGACTCATCAAAAACATGATGTAAAGCTCTTGCCAAGATGAATATAGCGGCCCCACATACAAGGAACCACAATTTGACGCAAGCCTTGGAAACTCAGGAAAGCCATGCAAAACACACTGCGCATCCCTGCTATATCAATATCAACACTCGTGTTGGTGTTAATAACTAGTCGTTTGGCCGTTAATAACTCGAGACCCCCGAAGCCACAAAGGCTAGACCTTCAAAACGTCATATTTCCTGAATGAGCGTGGCAAGAGAAAGATCGAAGTTTTTTTCTCAATAGAACAGGAATCAGGCTGCGCAGCCTCATCTATGCCATATGTGGTGGGGTGTGGATTTGCGTATTGAGGTGTCTGCGATATGACTTATTTCAAAAGCGGGCATGGGAGAGACGGTCATCTCCGTGTCATTTTCAAGCTGAATTTCAATTGTACTGAATTGGATTTATTTGACATATCGAGCTCTAAGTTCCTGCGTCGAGTTAACGATCAGTACCACAATTTGGTCAATGGGGGTCAATTTGACGCCCCCCCCCCCCCTCCAAAGGTTGTTCTGGAATGGTTTATGAAGGGCGCGGCGTAGCCTCGCCAAATCCTGCATAACTCTAGACAATTGAATAGCGGATCACTTTGTATCCGAAACTTAGATACACCTTGTAAGGTTGCCAGCCTATGACAGGTCAAAGTCAGGCCATGGTTTTAGCGAAGGCGATTTCTAGGGAATCGTTCAATCTGATGTAATAACGGAGTGTTAGACAAAGCCACACATCTCTGAGATAGTTTCTTAGGCAACACAGCGATTGAATGAACCAATTACACTGACTTAGTGTCAGGCGTGAAAGTCAGACCAAGGCCAAAGCCAACCTGCTGTGTTACTGCAGAGCTTGCTATATGGGGGTAGTTTCTGGTGCTCATTTCGAACTTATTAATAATAACAACCGCAGTATACATCCTCCATGTACTTCTTAAAAGTCAGAATAGGTCGCTGATCTAAAATAACCCAGGTCAACATTTTGATTTTAAGAACATCCTATCCAGCATAAAGTTTGACGCTTATTCAGATGCAACTAAAAGCAGACGTGTATGATTTTGGTCATCATGACCTGCGAAAAGCCAAACAAGGCTACTGACCTTCATTGAGCACCAGTGACTTTTTGGTTAGAACAGGTTTGGGGCCACTTTAAACATCGATCTGGAGTTTGACCTTGTTTGGCCTATTTTGACCCGAAGGTCATGACCTAGGAAAGTCAACTTTGAAAAAAGTAGGTTCACATACAGGGTAACACACCCTGTGAATTTTGTGCCTTTATCTCCTTTAGTTTCTGAGATCTCAGGGAGGTCAGATTAGCTCTAGCCGAGCAGAGGGTATTAAACCGGCCGCCCGGGCGCGTGTAAAGATACTAGAAGGCACTGGATGAACGATGTTGAGCTAGACAGCGATCATATGGATCGTACTCAGTGGTTCGAACAATGCTCATCCTCAAGAGTAAAAGGGGCTCAGAAAAATTGAGCAGAATATCACACTTGAAAAATAAGACACCTCAATTCATAAAATATTTCTGGTCCGTATAGCTAATGCCACTACAAGATGTCACAAAGCAAAAATCATTTTAGCTCTTAACACGATAACGGCAGAAAAAAGGCGACTTACGCGCGAAAGTTTGCGAAGTCTCGCATAGTCAATCTTAGGAACGTGCGTGACCTAAAAGTGCTGTTTAAAGCAGGTTCCACGATGAAGTATGTACGTTCAGACGATGGCGAGGGTTTCGCATATGCAGCGGCTCGAAGATCCTAGGTCTGCATTTTTTTTTAGCAGTTGCTAAAAGCTTTATATTATAGATGGTATTTGCTGTGCTATGCTCCATTGCTGCGTGTCGATCTACCATGTGATTCCCTAGCGGCATGTACGCTCCTTAAAGGTGTCTCTCCAAGGCGTCCATTAAACCTGTCATGAGTGCTATGCTTTGCATCTTCTTCAGAAAATCTCCCTGGGCACGTGTTATAGCTTATTATGTAACAGAGATCTTCCGTTTGTATCTATCGTTCAGTCCATTAACACATGAAGATAGCGCTGTCTGTACTAGCATGGACTTTAAACTAGGACTAGTCCTCGCTACCCGGCAATGCATACCACTCGGTCATGTAGCGGTTTTGAATTGTCTGTTCATGTGGTCGTCTATAAAAGAGAGCTTCGCACATACATGATTTGTTTGTTGTGCCTTTTTACAACCTTCACGCAAACCTGCTGTAACATTACAAATCAAAAACGTGCGGCACAAGCCACAGACTTCACCCTGTTTTCTGGGTATCCATTCTCACAGAAAAGGGGAGATTTTAGGTAAATTACGCTCACACGAATGTGGGCTAGAAAATATCCACACCGCTCTCCGCATCTCTGAAGTAAGAATTGTGTAGTAGCCATGTGGTGCGCCGCATTGTAACGTGGTACGTAGGCAGGCCATAGCTTTAAAGTAGGGTCTGTTGTATAGGTCCCATCGGATTGTGCCACAGAAAGGGTGTCGAGAATAGAAATGGACAAGGTTTGTGCGTTGTGTTCCAGTGTTAAAGAAATACTGGGGTAAAGTATCAAGTGTAACCAGGAACTGAAGGTCTTTTTATATTGAACTGTTGTGAATAAAAGAGGCGAATAGAAAACAGAACGGGGCGACTTTAGGGGCATACCGCCTAGCATAGTCCTTGATGCTTATTTACATGTTAATATCAAAATAATACAGAAGGTGTCACCTTCTTACCATTACCTTCTTCTCACCATTACCTTCTGGTCACCATTACCTTCTGAAGGTCTGACGCCTGAAGGAAGGAATGAAGGAAAGGTCTGATGATGCTCTGTACAAGGAGAGAAAATTCACCTAGCCTTGCGTATCTAAGAGAAAAGCTATGTGCGCATCCCAATCTTGTAACCACGTTACGGTCCATGCATCTAACAGACAGCATTTAGATACATTAAGACGCGTAGATATGCTGGGATATAGTAAGATACAATAAAGGTGGATCCAATAAGCCACAGCCGAATTCAGCGCAGAAAAGCGATAAAAGTCCAGTTAGTCTAGATCGTTTGTACTTGAAAACTGTTTTTGTTATTGAAAACACACATTTTTGCGCTTTTAAACACAAAATGAGAGCAGCAGATTTGTACAGGTTAAGTTCCCACCAGCAGTGGACAGTCAGGCGTTGTAATGCTGCTGACCTAATTTTCACCTATCACATACGCAGCCACTTGCCTCAAAGAGGCCCTACCCTAACATGCTGGCTTGCAGTGAAGACCCTACGGAACAGTTAGCATCCAGAACAGAAGATCCGTAAAGAACAAAAGCGAGAAAGCTAAAAAAATCACATTTGCACTGGCTTTATGTAGAAGCTACTGAAGTCTTCCACTGACCTACTGTCAGGTGATCAGTCATCCGTGTCTTTTCAGGGAGCTCCTGTAAGCAGTGGACTGTCACCTCTAACATCAGTTACTACAACCACGAGATCTGTCAAGGTTACTTACCGGTAGTGGATCAACCTCGGGTCGTGGTTGTCAGCAAGGCAACGGCTGGGTCATCTTCCAATCTGATGTAACAGTGGAGTCTTATCGATTTATTTATTATACTATATGTGTTTCCGTCTCCTTGGAAAGTTGCATCTGCTCCCCATCTTCACAAATCTAGGCCACTTCATACATCTAGCAATTTCAGACCTATCTGCATGTTGTGGGTGCACCACATAACCATATCTAAGATAACAAGAGATGTTTGACTATCACAAATCCTTGCTGCAAACGATGAAGGAGGATGACAATGTTGCCACACCTGAAGCACATATGCATATCCCCAGCACACATATCAGGTTGACTGATAGTAATCTAGTCGAGTCCTCACGACCTAGCAAACTCAAAAGCCCGCTGAATGTTGCATAGCCCGATCAATATTCTCTTGACGACTGACAGTGAGGTCGTTTTCAGACTTCTGTGCGGTCCGTGGTCAGCGACACGGCCCCGGTCGGTGTTGTCGACGACGCGGTGCTGGGCGGTGGACGTGTCGTCGCTGCTGCCACCGCGACTGCTGCCAACCCCTTCGAAGGTAGCCTAGCAGGGACAAACGTCAAAGCTCCGACGGTTGTCTCCGTCACCTCGGACAAGGCGGGCGTCTCTGCCATCCCAGACAAGGCAGGCGTCTCCACCATCTCGGACAAGGCTAGCGTCTCTGCCATCTCGGGCAAGGCAGGCGTCCCCGCTATCTCGGACAAGGCGGGCGTCTCCGCTATCTCGGACAAGGCAGGCGTCTCCACCATCTCGGATAAGACGGGCGTCTCCGTCATCTTGGACAAGGCGGGCGTCTCCACCACCTCGGACAAGGCGGGCGTCTCTGACATCTCGGACAAGGCGGACGTTGCCGCCGCTAGCCCATTGTCCGTAGTGTTCGTGCCGGCCGCCTGCGGGCGGCGGCGCTGCTGTCGGATCTGGAGCTCGACGCGGTACGCCTGCTCGTGCCTGCGCGCAGGCAGACGCTGCTTCGACATCCGGCTGCCCCGGCCGCCCAAAAAGCGTATTAGCCCGGTCCTCAGGGCGGTCAACCCACCGTGCGATGTGCCATGCTACCGCGCATGTGGCAAAACGTGCTGCTATATTTACGGGTGCAGGTACCCAGCATTCGGAAGACGTAATTATGTGATTATTAGCAAAGCCGAGTACGCGAAATATCTGCAGGCGGTGTATGGAAAAGCTGTGCTTACAAAGCATCCTCTCACGTCTCATAAAAACGACTATTCGGTCAAAATAAAGCCTGGTGTCAAGGGCTAGGGAGTGGGCGTAGTAGACCATTGGTTCCACATTACGTTGTTTCGCTTGTTTGGTAAGAATGCAAAAATCATGCGAGATACCTCCAATATCCGGTAAAATCCTGGCACAGCAGAACTAATGAAACAGCTACATGTTTCCGGAATGCAGTGCATCTCATGTCTCTTTCTCTCATCCTGTGTATGGCGAATAACCTTCCCGTCGTTCAGGAGGCAGTCCTTTTCACTTTCAATTTCGTGACCCTCGCCGTTACTGCCATCGCATACTAGGTATTCATTGTCAGACCCTCGTGGGATACGCATGTAGGTAGGGTCTAAAAAACCAGCATATGACGCAGACGTGCAATTTTTCCGAAACGGGTTGTTCGATTGCCTTTAAGTCTTCACCAATTGATTTTGTGCAATGAGATGAATCATGGGAGACAATATCGAGATCTGACCTGAGGTCAAACACCTCAAAAACGCGAGGGGAAAATTTTGCACCCAAATGCAGAGAACCCAGATCTCAGAGCCTACTGGACCGATCACTGTGAAACCCGTTCGTCATTGGATGCCCCACACCTGATTCCCCCGTGCAGTTCCAAATTTAGTGACCCTATGTCAGGTCGAAACTCGTCAAATTTTACAAAGTCCAAAATTTTTGTTTGCAGACAACTTATAGCTCAGAATGTACAACGCCGATATCTGTCAAACCTTACTATTCAGTACGCCATTAACTCTAATTTTTTTTGAAGGTGCAAGCATGGTGCCATTTATACTTCTGCCTTTTCCTTTATTTTTATTCCAAAGAAAAAGTGCAGCTTGGTTAAGCTGGTCCAGTAGCCTTGGGCTGGCTGTATGAGGTTAATTTCGCCTTAGCGGAGATGTGCTGAAAATGACGCGCTGAACTGTGCATGGTATCGCCACGATTAACATCTCCGCTAAATAGAAATTCAACCTCATACCATCAGCCTAACCAAGTTGCCATTTTTCTTGGGAACAAACATAAAGGAAAAGGTATAATTATAAATGGCACCATACTTACAGCTTCAATAAAAATGGGGGGGGGATATATGGCGCACTAAATGGTAAGGTTCGGCAGATACCGGGGTGGCAGATTCTGAGTTGTAAGTTGTTTGCCAGCAAGAAAAGTGACTTTGTGAATTTTGACGAGTTTTGACCTGCCTAGGGTCACCAAACTTGGAACTGCAAGGGGAGCCAGGTAGGGGGCATCCAATGGTGATGGTTTCACAGCGGTCGGTTCAGTAGGCCCTGAGATCTGAGCTGTCAACGTTTGTATGTAAAATTTTCCCCTCACATTTTCGAGGCGTTTGACCTCAGGTCAGGTCTTGATGTTGTTCCCCATGACCCACATTATTGCACGGACTCGATTGGTGAGGGCTTAAGGCGATCGGATGAGCCGTTTCGGAAAGTTTGCGTGTCTGCGTCACATACAGATTTGCGTGTCTGCGTCACATACAGACTTTTTAGACTCCACCGCGCACGTTCCTCTTTCAGCGGGCCTCAGGGAATCCTGGGTACAGATAGCTGACATTTAATCAGTCGATTGGTGGGGTGCACGAATGTGATTCTCGTGCGGAGCAATACAAAGCAGTGTGACTGGCCATAACATCAATCCTGCTTTGCTGTCAGGTTGTAAAAGATGTATCGAGTGTTTTTCAGGTTCGCCTCAACGTTGGATGCGTTTTGAATACTGCAACACCAATAAATTATGCAAGACATTATCCTCATTTCTCGGTGCAATCTATGGCTGCCCACAGACTGCTGCACATTTCATGGAGGTGGTTGAAAATATCGGCGATTTTTGGCAACGTTGAGCAGAACCACGGAAAAGCGCATTTATCATTACGAAACGCGATTGCATAAGAAGTACAAGCGTCCATCGCGCTTGATAAACCTGCGGCTGTCAGCAATGTAGACGAAAAAACAAGGCTTATTACTTTTAATAGCCGCTTGCCGCAGCATCTTGCGACGAATGTGACCAGTTTGCTACGCAATGTCTTAAAGCGTCGTGCCATGTGAGACAGATGGGCCCGAGTGCTCGCCGCGCGGTAATGCGTTGAGTTCAGTACAAGGTTGTGGCTACTGTTAATTGTGTTCATGTTGTGAGAAGCTGACTGGCTAGAAGGACGAAGCTAATCATTAGTTTTTTAACATGTGCTCGGGTGGGGGTCAAATTGACCTCCCGAAAGTTTTTTTCAGAATGGTTTCCGAACGGGGCGATGTAGGTGCGCCAAATTTTATATTGCTGTAGGCAATTAATTTGCATATCGTTTGGTGAAAAAACTAGATGTACCTTGTGAGGTCGCTGACCTATGGCAGGTCAAAATCAGGCCATAGTTTCAGCGAGGCAATTTCTAGAGAACGGCTCAATCTGATGCAACAACGGAGTGTAAGACGAAGCAAAAATCTCTGACATGCTTTCTAAGACAACACAAAATAAAATGAGTAAATTACATTGACCTGAGGTCAGGTATGAAGGTCAGACAAACGTCAAAACCAACCTGTTTTATTACTCTAGGGCTTGTTGTATGGGATAGTTTCTGGTGCTCATTTCGAATTTATTGATAGCAGGAACCACATTCTACATCTTTCATGAACTTCTTAGAGGTCAGAATTGTTCACTGACCTAAATGACCCAGGTCAACATTTGGTTTTTAAGGAGCATACTGCCTAGCGTAATCTTTGTCGCTCATTCAAATGCAAAACTCGGAGCTGTCTTGTATGATTTTGGTCACCATGACCTTCAAAAGGTCAAACAAGGTTACTGACCCGAAGTGAGCATGTGAACTTTTGCTTACAAACAATCATCTAGGTTCTGAGGGCACCTTGGGGACCAACCTGGGATTTCACCTTGTTTGACCTTATCTGACCTAAAGGTCATGATCTAGGAACCTTAAACGCTGACCTGAGTGAGCTTATGTTCAGGTCAACATACCCTGTAAATTTGGTGTCTCTAACTCTCATAGTTCTCGAGATCTCAGGGGGGGGGGATAAAATTGACCTCCCATCCGAGCGAAGGGTATCCAGGCGGCCACCCGGGTGCGTGTTAAAGGCCGTAGCGTTGAAAAACCGACCGATCTAGGAGGATTGTTTTATGTGGATAATGAGCTGTAGTTTCAGGGGCAAACAGAGGGGCTGGAGCGACACATGTCAGGGATTCATCGGTGGTTTCCCTTCCTGCTGCTGCGAGGAACGGCGGTTTCGAGGTGGGAAACCAAGCATCGCTGTTGTAGGCCTCTTGCACTGCACGTTGCACCTCAGACTCAGCGCACTGATCGGTGAACAAGCGTGGGACAAAGCGTTTTTGATCGTCATTGTATTGCATACAAAGATAGATAAAGGCGTTAGAGGTGTTCAAAACTGTTTGTAATATTGCATGGGCCCCGCTCTAAATATTGTAATCATGTTAGGGAGTGTGAGTTCTGCACCAGCAATAATCATGCAAAGATATTGAAGGTCACCAACGCTTCCATCCGACTTTTTTAATTTGATCCGAACCCTTTGAATGGATGGATTTCTGGGATCAGCGCTCACGCTAAGCAGTGCTTGTTGTGTGAGCCCTGACCCCCACCATCCGATCGCGCAATTCCAGGCAACGGCAGAATTTAGTGGCGAAAGCTCAACGTGCTGCAATGCTCGGCACGGTCCGTCCTGCCCCCTGACGTCAACTGACCTTTAGTGCGACCGCTGCCAGCGGCCGCAGGCCATACCTGTCAAGGGCAAATAGCGAGCACCTAAAGCGACTCAATCCAACCCCGCCACGGGTGGGCGAATCGGGAGGCAGGCGCTCTAACCAACTGAGCCACCGGGACGGACACTGAGCCACCGGGACGGACGTCGTGATTGTGCGATGACGTCACAAAACTTAAGGTGAGATTGTTTTGAGGTGCTTGTAGAACCGTGCTATCGTTAAGTATAAAGTATAGGAATGCATGTAGCCTTGCAAAATACGTAGGGTAGAGGGAGGGATGAGAGGGAAAGGGGGGGGGGGGGTCGGGCAGGGAGAAAAATGGATGAGCCTGCCCCAGAAATACACTTCCTTCTCTCCGTTGGGAACAGCAGTGTAATTTCTTAAACTTAGTTTCGGGGCTCAACCCTAAACAATTATGATGAATAAAAAATAATGGATGATAATGAATAATTGATAACTAAACGTAAGACACTACATTATTGCTTAGGAGGCACAATCACTGCACCCAATTTTTTCGGCAATTTAGACGGTTCCAAGTTTCGTCGGTGACACAAAAGGCGCTTTTTTATCCCCGGCCGCAATCATGGCCGAGAAACTCGCTTCACGATTCACTATAGTCAAGACAATTCCAGGTACTTAAAAACACCGCCAGTTTTTTCCAACAGAAGCATACCAGCTGCCCAGCGACCATGCACCCAGATGCCCAGCGACGACGGGTGAGTCGTTCGGGTGAGTGGAAAAAACCTGGACCAGTTTAAAGACACTTATCGTTCATTTTCAAAGCTATGCATTGGAACTTACACCCCACAGTCCTCGTGTAAAGCCTGTTGTATGCTATAAGCACGTAAGCGTACTCTTGTAGCGTAAGTGTGGCGCACTCTTGCCGTTTTTCAAGCAAAGTTCAGGAAACACGGTAGTCTCTGTCCTAGCTCGTTAGGCTTATTCACTTTCAGTAGCATTATCACTTGGTGCCGGTATGCAATACGTTTTGCGATCCCAAAACATGATACGTAGTAGTATTTTGTGTATTTTTGCTCGGCGCTAATAAGCCAAACGCATGTCAAGGTTATGTCAAACCCTTTGAACAGCCTCGGGCAATATATGTGTCGTGGTCTGTAGACCAGACCGTGCCTATCCTGTGCAGGTGCATTAAACGTACCAAATAACCCCTGGCGCAAAGTCCGTTAATCTGTTTAAAAAAATACGGAAATTAACGTTGCCTTAAAGCCGTGTGACAGTTGGTACACAAGCGTACCATTTTGATGACGTCCGAATGTCAACATTAGTGAAAGTTGACATGTTTTGAACAATGTAAAACCTACTTAAACATTTTTACCCTCGGGTGTTATTTTGTTTTGGAAAGACGGCGTACGAAATGTGTTGGCAGCTAAATAGAAAGTTAAGAAGTAGCATCATGTGATGTTTGCTTTTCAAGACTTTATCAAAACCCTTTGAACGGATAAATTTCTGGGATCAGAGCTCACGCTAAGCAGTGTTTGTTGTGTGAGCCCTCACCCCTACCATCCGATCACGTAATTTCAGGTCAACGGCAGAATTTGTTGGCGAAAGCCCAACGTGCCACAATGGTCGGCACGGTCCGTCCTGCCCTCTGACGTCACCTGATCTTTATTGCGGCCGCTGGCAGCGGCCGCAGGCCATACCTGTCAAGGACAAATGGCGAGCGCCTGAATCGACTTGAACTCACACCACCAAGAGCGGGTGTCGTTATTCTTCTGTAGATGAAGCTTCTATAAGCACACTTTTTAATACATATGTTCAGTCCTTAACATTCGGAACGTAAAATTTGAATGGCGTGAATTCAAAAGAAATCAGGTTTTGAGGGCAGGTCAAATCAACCTTACCACCTGAGTTTCCCGCTCCCCAACCGGCTTTAATAAGTGACAACCCTGCCACGTCCTTTGATCGCTGTCGATTTTTCCGTAACATTGTCCAGCTCCATTGCGATTGTCATCATGACTTCAGATGGAAAAAATATGCTGTCAAATGTCCAAAAATCTACTTAACATACAAGTATTACCAACGCCAACATTGCTTCATAGAAGTGATTTGTGAGGACACGAAGCAGCGCGTCATATGCAAAAGAGATGAGTGCACTTGTATTGTTAATCATACGCACCAAAAAGCCTTGACAAAGATTTTTTGACACTTTGTTACTGTTATATTAGACGACGATATTTCACATGGTTCTGATTTATGACATTATCAATATATAGAATATTTGAACCTTTAACTATAGATCATGTCCTGTGAAAGCCGCGCTCACTCATCGCGGTGGTGTTGACGTTGTAAGTGTACCCCCCCCCCCCCCCCCTTCCTTCCACATGTACACACTTCGGTCAGCCATTTCAGCACAGTTGAGTGATTCATGACATGCACTTTAAAATCAACGTACCGAGTTGGCACTGAGCTCTGCCTTCTCTTGAAAGTCCTGGCTGCGTCCCTATTGATAGATACGCATTACTGACGGACCTTACATACCTATGCATGGGTCACGATGAATGGTCGTTCAAACGAATGGTCCTCAAGGCCTGCTTTGCTCCACATGACACGGATGTCAGCAATAATGGCGCGGCCCAGTATCTAATGGCCTGGGCCAGTCAACGCCGCTGACAAGTCTGGTGTTTTATGCTGGGATGTGGGTGAACTAAAGGCGTAAGCTTAGGACACACAAGGTAGTTAAAAGAAGCCCATTTTTGTATTATGCATTCGCTCTGAGTTCGATCAATGTGTTTTGCCTATTAAATTCAAATAAATTTCCATAACAACAATAATTTCCCTATCCAGCTGTTTAGTATGTACTAAAACTGTTTTAAAAACACTTAAAAGCTAGTTCAAACTGTTCAGCGCAATAACCGTTTGTAAAAACAGCTTATGTTTAAATACGATGTGCTTTATTTTGCAAAAACAAAGTTGATACATAGTGGTCACACTTAACCATCACTGAGACAAATTCGGGCATTTTCCAGCATGCTGGCAGGCTGCCATGCACAGAATAACGTTATTTCAATATCTGAATGGTCGTTTCGTGCTTTCTACAATCTCAATGAGATGCCGCTGTCTTTCAAGCCGGCGTAGAGCTATCCGCAGAACAGTACCGGATCCTGTTTCGAATGTCATTGTCCGAACTGCGTGCAGACTGGTCCAAAGGCCAGAGGTGACAGCTGGAGGCCCTGCAGGAGGCCGCGTGTGGTCGGCGCGGAAGGTCGAGGTGTCACTGGCCACTGTGGTCGCCGCGCGGACGTGGAAGGCATGGTCCGGACAGCGGTGCCGGCTCTGCTGACCGCGGTCTGGCTGTGCTGCCAGACCAGCGGCGTCCCTCTAAACTGGAGAGAGGTATGACAGCTAACCAAGCCATGCTAACGGCTATCATGGCATGCTGATCAATTTGAGGGCGTGCTCATTGGATTGTTTGCACAAATTGGACCTTAGCGTTCTTCTTCAAGGCCCAGGGAACTGTTTTCTTTTCAGCCACAGTCTCTGAGTGGCAGAAAATGCATGTGTCAGAGGCCGGGTGGAATTCCATATTCCTGCTGTATTCTCGTTACTTAGCGGCTTAATTTTTTAACACTGTGACAGCTGCGCACAAATTGTAAACGTCAATTGTCTCATTGCCCTAAGGTCACCCGCCGCTGCTGTCAGGACGCCTCTCGTGCCACCCTCGCTCACGAGTCGCCATTGTTTCATTACGTGTTACATCTCATGTATGATCTGTCAAGTCACCTACTCTTAGCTGCTTCTGCGGCATATCACTTTTATCTTACGGGTAGACTGTTCCACTTGCTGATTGGCAAAGCAGCGGCGCGATAGAAGATACCTTGAAACAGCACATGAGTCAGGAGACAGCAGAGGCATTTCAACCATGTCTATACCACCTTTTGGGGCTGCCTTTCACAGGCCGAGTCCGTGACTGCAACCAGCGTGCGGAATGTGCAGCAAGTGCAGACGAGTGTATCAGAGCGGCGAGTTACTGACCGGGTCCAACTGGATGACTCCGAGCACGTGACCGAGTCATCAAGTCGCACCGCCGCCGCTCGAGCCAGCTGGCTGCACGACCACGCCTTCTTCGACGACGACGGCTGGGGCCGCACCCGAGTGGCAAACGTCACCACGGCCTCGGAGGTTATAAACAACGGGCCGAACGGCACGGAGCGCGTCGTCACCGTCGGCGTGGCCGGTGGCGTTCTCCGGGAGGGCCCCGACAGTTAGAAAAAGGCCCCGCCGGCCGTGACGGACGGCCCCGTGAACTGATCCGCCGCGGGCGAGATGAACAGGGGAGCAGACCGTAACCTGGTCAGGTGTGAACAATATTACAGGATGATGAAAAGTGCGGACACTAAATTTTAAGGAAAACATCCCCAAATGTGTGGCGTTAGGGCCGTGCTTTATACGTTTGATCAAAGAGCAGCAACTTTCTTTCCCTTGAAATGAGCGTATTGTCATTCAGTGCGTGCGGGAAATGTTGTTGCTAAGCATGTTGAGCAGAGTCTGTTGATAACTTATGTGAACCGCAATTGCTATTTGAAACGAATTACATGTAGCGTTAATCCTACGCGGTAACTCATAAAACATGACAAATGCATGTCGCAAAGTAAAGCTTGTGAGGTTACGCACACCATTCAACTGCACTAAATTTGGTGCAAAACAAGCAAACCAGCTGGCCATGCATGCCTTAGGGTGATTTGGAAATGCCTTGCCCATCTTGCCCTAGGTTTAGGACGGCTGCTCCTGACCTTGTGGCTTCTTTCATCGCTGGCGTCGATCATGTTAACAATTGTGTTACGGTGCGTGTGTTCCAATGACTTTTAGGCTTCTCTTTACATGTGCTATCCGTTCCTGTATCCTTCCAAGGCCTAGCTGCTCCATGAACATTCAACCTGCATCACACCTTTGCTGTGGAAGGGCCTCATTGTTTGTAGACGCAGACGTGAACATCAATAAACTCCTAAAAAAAATGGCGGATGTGTCATTACGAACCGACTGCAATCCGTATTATTGTGGTAACCACGTCGAAGATGGAGAGAAACGTGAGAGATACGTTCAATTTTTTTGGTCAAGTATCAGTCGTTAAAGCGCCAACCTAAATGAACGTCCACTAATAAAAGACGTTCCATCACCTATCAATCGCCATCACCACTTCCTTGTACTTTTGGCCAAAGCCCCCTCTTATCTCACCGAGTACATAAGAATGTTTTTATTCATCTCATTGTACCAAATGTCTCATTCTAAGTGCAGGCTTTTCAAACAAACGTATACAAAAGGTTAGCTGTACATCATTATTTTGGTTGACTTCAGTTAAATACAAGGGCTGTTCCCATTATAATTTCTTCAGTTTTCGTTATATCGTTGGCACAGTCTTATTAAGACGTTTCACGAGATGTCAGTGTATCGCTCGCAGCGGTTTCAACATCAGCATATTTATTGTGTGACTAACATGTTCAATGAATTAGGAACAAACCAGCCTAACGAATCAGTGGATGTTAACTATCGCTGTGCATCTTCTCCATAATAATGTCTCAGAATGTGATGATCCTGGCGCGGAAGCGGCCGCAGCCTACATGTGCCCGGAGGCATGCTAGCGCCCCGCTCAGGGCGTGGCGGCCACCTTGCAGAGGAAGTTGCGCTCTTCCGAGCACAACTCGTCGTCCCATTGGCCAGTGGCCGGCTCCACCTCGTCCGGCATGTGCGCGCAGTCCTGGTCGTGGTAGTTGTCAGGCTGTTCGGCCGCCCAGTAAGTGAAGTCGACCGGCGAGCCGTCGGTCCAGACGAACTGGCCCTCCTCAGCCACGTCGTTCAGGCCCAGCCACATGTCCATTTGCTGGAAGGTCTCCATGATCCAGGCGTTCTCCAGCAGGTTGTGCACGGACGCCAGTGAGGCGTTCGGGTGGATGACGCCGCAGGCGGGCGACGCCTGCGTCCACGACGTTTTGAACGGCGAGTACCAGTAGCAGAAGCCGTCGTTCTCCTTCCAGTCCAGGCCGAGCTCGGTCGGGCAGCTGCCCTCGGCGCCTCCGAGAGACAGCAGGCAGATCAGCACCGGCGCCAACATCAGTCCGAAGGCTTGCATGATTGGCAGAGTGGAGCTTTGTCGGATGCTGAGCAGGCTGAAAACAGGCATACTTGTGTGGGCTCATTATTGTTGCGAATGATGCTGCTGGCCGAGTAAGTCTTAATTCGACCATAGGACTTCTTCAACTTGAACGGTCCGGTCGTCATACTCTATACACTTTGATCTGTGTATGCAGGCTCTGACCTTAAGTATACCACTTTTCATAAACCACGACGTTTTTTTAGTCGTGTTGCATGTAATGTTGGGCAGCTGCGTGCACCTGTATTTGAACAGGCAAAGTCTTTCTGCAATATTGCAATATCACCACGATTTCACCTTCCACTTTCAGCATAGATATGATAGAATTTTCATAGTTATAAGAAGGAAAGGGCTCGGGGCAAAACTGGGTCCAGACTTGAAGTATTCAGCGTCGAAACAGCATGATGCTAACTGATCCTAACGCAGGAGAAAAGGCACAGTCGTGATGGCAAAGTGGGCAGCTGTGTGCGCACGCCCTAACTTATTCGAGCCATGGGTCCACCCGTTTTGGAGCACTTTCAGGGATTGTTCTCGTGTCCCAGCAACGATAGCAAACGGGACTTGAAATCAATGGCATAGTGCAGGCGAATGCATGCGTTACAATTTACGAAGGGATTGCAAACCGTCCAATCCGCAGGGGCGACATTAATCGAAAAGAAGGCGGGTGGTGTCACCTTCTGCGAAGCCTTTTTAAAATAGAATACGTTGTTGTTGAAGCTGTGCTTAAGATTTGGGGTATAAAACGAAACGGACGTATCATCCCGCTAGTTATGACCAAAACCAATTAGAGAAATTGCGTTTTTCTCGTGGCACAATTACCAAAACTGAAAGCCTGCAGCCACCGATGTGTTCGATTAACACTCTCGGGTGGAAGGGGAGTCAAAACGACTCCTCCGAAGGCTTTCTAGAATGATTTTCGGACGACGTGGCATAGCCGCACCAAATTTTGCAAAGCTGTATTTAGTTGAAAAGTGGATTGCTAGGTTATGACATCAGATGGGCAGCCAAAAGTCGGGCTGTTGCTGTCATTGGGTGGCATTTCTAGGGAATCGTTCCATGTGATGCTACAACAGGGTGTTAGACGAAGCCATACACGTCTGAGATAGTTTCTCAGTAAATAAATTGAATATAGAATTGATTTTTAGTCAAGAGCTTGGTTGCATGAGATAAGTTCTGGTATTCGTTTTAAGTTTATGAATGACCGGGACCGCAAGAGATCTGTTCCATAAACTTTTTAAAGGCCTCAGTAGGTCACTGACCTAAAATGACCCCGTTCAATATTTGTTTTCGGAGAATACCGCCTAGTTTTATCCCTGGTGCTTATTCGAATGGCAAAATAGGAGCAGTCTTGTAGTAATTCGGCAACCTTGACCTTGCAATGGTCAATCAAGGTCACTCACCGCATTGGACTTTCACATAGAACATTTATTTATCTTCACTGCGGTTGCATGAGGAGTTCTTAGACGCTCGAGACACCAATCTGGCGTATGACCTTGTTTGACCTTATTTTGCGTCAACGGTCATGACCTAAAAACTTCAAATTCTTAACAAGCCCATAAATTTACGTAAAAGTCAATCTCCCCTGTAAATTTGGAGTCTAAGCTTTTTTAGTTTTTGGAATCTCAGGGGGGGGGTCAAATTGACCCACCCGAGCGGAGGGTATTGAACTAGCCAAACAGGCGCGTGATAAAATTTCGAAGCCTGCTCGGGATCACAGTCATCGATAATTCAGCAAATGATGTTTGTATATTAAGACACGAATCCTACATCGGTGAAACTCTGTTGCTGAAATTCTCACGAGCATCAAAGTCCAACAAGAGACTTTCACGGTTAAAATGTCGTTTTTCCAATCCAGGGTGGCATCCATAATCGAGACTTCACTTTTCACCCACCCAAACTGCCAACAGCTGACCCGAAAGTATCTGTGGAGTTTTCGCCGGGTTGTGGGTCGGACTTGGAGGGCATTTGTGGGTCAATAATGTTAACATTTAAATAAGGTTTGTCTTTTGCTCTTTCCCAAGTTTTAAAACCATACAAAAATCTGTGTGTGCTGGAACACACAAATCAGATATGAAAAATCATACTTTCATGTTACGTCAAGAGACTCGGCGACAGTAAATCCATTGTAGACATGACGCACCAGTGAGCCATGCCGCAAAAATAAACAGCCTTAAGAAACATCACAACAAAAAACTCAAGAATAACAGCCCAAATTTTGAAACCTTGATATGGTTTCATTAAAGAGTAGTTAGGTTGGTCATTATAAGCAGCTTGATGCTATGCTTTGCAGCATTGTGGTGATGAGGTGCAATAATACTTCCTTGTTTTAGAACAAACCATACCTCATATTCTATATGAATAATTAATGAATTAACAAAGTAACTATGGGCCATTCATTGGCTTAGCCTCATTTATTTGTCTGCACTCGCTCCACGAGTTATATACGGCTCACAGTGACAACAGACTTGTTCATTAACCCCAGCGCGTGTTAATAAAGGTGTTTGGAGCAGTCGAATGCATTTTCATAAAATGCAAGACATTTTTTTCCTAAAAGGAGTTCTGGAAGTGTCTGTGCTATATGTTTGATGCTAAAAACTACATCATCGGGCCTGCAATAAAAAGTTACCAACAGACGTAAGAGCTCCGGAACCTACCGCTGGTAGCACACGGAAAGTTTCAGGGGGTTTCGAATCCCTTCCTCGCCCGGACAAAAAGAGGGCTTGAGCCATTAGTTGTGATGAGTGTGGATCGGTGAATGCTGGAAGATTTATTTCAAAACCTGACTTGAGAAGATGGGAATGATGATGCAAAAGGCCGATGGCGAACTGCATGAAGTATCATTTTAACGCTGGAAGAGAATTTGCCAGCCGAACCGCACAAAATGCTTCTTCTACCCCCCACCCCCTCGATCCACTGGTGGCCAGCCCCGCCTGTCTCGACGCCGGCCTGTCTGGCTCCCTGACCAGTCCGCTCCGGCCGTCTCGACGCCGGCCTGTCTGGCCCCCTGACCAGTCTGCTCCGGCTGTCTCGACGCCGGCCTGTCTGGCCCCTTGACCAGTCCGCTCCGGCCGTCTCGACGCCGGCCTGTCTGGCCCCCTGACCAGTCTGCTCCGGCCGTCTCGACGCCGGCCTGTCTGGCTCCCTGACCAGTCCTCTCCGGCCGTCTCAACGCCGGCCTGTCTGGCCCCCTGACCAGTCCTCTCCGGCCGTCTCGACGCCGGTCTGTCTGGCCCCCTGACCAGTCCGCTCCTGCCGTCTCGACGCCGGCCTGTCTGGGCCCCTGACCAGTCCTCTCTGGCCGTCTCGACGCCGGCCTGTCTGGGCCCCTGACCAGTCCTCTCCGGCCGTCTCGACGCCGGCCTGTCTGGCCCCCTGACCAGTCCTCTCCGGCCGTCTCGACGCCGGCCTGTCTGGCCCCCTGACCAGCCCTCTCCGGCCGTCTCGACGCCGGCCTGTCTGGGCCCCCTGACCGGTCCGGGGCTGCTCACCTCTCGGTCCGCTGTCCGGCGGCGTCCTGAGGCCCCCGCAGCGCCTGTCGTGCTCCGGGGGCGCCGCTGGTGGCAGCTGCTGATTCTCCCAGTCGGCTACGACAGCACTTATCAGCCGCCTGCGTGAAGAGGCTGATAGCGCTCCGTGGCGCTCCATGTGCGTGCGTTCGTGTGGGAGCGTGGTGAGAACCGGGAAGCTCTTGTCACGTGGAGAATGGAAATATGCTGAGATGTGATGGCTTGTCAGAGCTTTTTCTTGCCAATGGCAGACCCATTTCTCCTGACGACGATACCAGCCAGGAACTGTGGTGTCATTAACAAAAAGCCTCCTGAAAGTTTGTTATCGTGATGCGTATATCGTCTAGCGCTGAAACGCTCTGGAAAATATGTGCGCATACACCGAACGCTTAATGCATCTTTAGGTTATCGTTTTGGCCACAGCGTCGCGACTTTTAGGGCACAATCGGTTACTCGGAACAATCCACCGGAAACGTTTGCTGAAACTCCAAGCCGTATCATTCACAAACACAGGTTACAAATTGTTTTCGAGTAACCAAAAAGCAGCACCCTAAGACGAGATCTTCCTAAAACAAGTGCACGCCACAGAGAGGCATATCTTTTTAAGACCAACTTCTGAATACACCGGGTAAAAAGATATGGTGAGAGGAAGGACGTGTCACTAACCCCATTTTGAAATCCTACGCACACGATTTTCATTTCTACCACGAAGACTTCATCTCGCCAACTATCTAGTTGAAGTGTGCAAAGTTCAAGAAGGATAAAGTAGCCATGACAAGTATGACTGTGTTTCTTTAAAAGTCTTCCGCTTTCGATTCTAAAAAAGGAACTGTATGCGACTTGCTTTGGGTGCGTCTTTCTATCCCCCTTTGTCTAACGTCGTGCCCGGGCCAAACGGCGGGACGCTAAAGCGAAACATGGACGCGACGCGACGGCGTCGAGGCGGCTTTCCACAGGTAGCTCGCGAACCGCTGTGGTCTGGGGTCCGGGCGCGGCACGTGCCGGAAAGACCGTATAGGTCGATTGGTTTTGCGCGGGCGGCCTGAAAATGTGAACCACGAGAAAGCTAACGGGCAGCCGTTCGAAACCATGGCCGTGTCTCGATAACCAGGGTTCAAACCTGCAAGAAATGGTACGTCTCGGTAAACAACTGAACGGCGTCTCGTGTGGTACTATATGTGCGTTCGCGCGGGTCACGTGGGACGTGCACAAAGGAGGCCTCGATTGATTTACCCGTTTTTTGCGTCCAATTCCGAAACGTCGAGCAACGTACCATTAGCAATTCATGCGGCGAAAACGAGTTTGTGCGACGCACGGTTGTCCAAGTAATGGTCGGGCAAGCCAGTTATGTCAGCATCTCGAAAAACGGCGTCACATACAACACGCCGTCGTCGGAACTGTAGCCAGGGTAGAGGCGGAATTTATATCACCGCATGTACCGATTTATTCACACCCGTATTTACGACCCATTTGGCATTGACGGCGGTAGCAAGTATGATTTTCTTCAAGTCTATGACGCGCTTAACAACGCTTCAGACCCAGCAGAAATCTGGAGAAGAAGATTTTAAAGCTGGATTTTAAGATTTTAAAGCAAAGCGGAATAAAAGCTTTTAAAGCAAATCCCTAGAATCATTCATTTCACCATAGTTGGCCATGGTGGGCTGATTACAGAATAATGCCCCAAATGAAGCCTCCGTGGCACAACATTATTAATCGCTGCGATAGCTGTTTAAGATTCTAATAGATACTTTCCAAATGGGTTTACGACTGCGTCTTGAAACAGGTTAAAGCATGTGCGCGCATACAAAGAGAGATGGGTAAAAAGCTAGCGATCACTGACCGATTTCCGTTACGGTTGTAAGAAATTCTGCCTATGTTGTTGCACGAAAAGCTAGTTCACAAATGCAGTCTGTTTCCCATGACCACCATATGTGTCAGGTAATTAACACAGTGCACCCTGTTTTCTGACATCCCGAAAGGCATAGGTCGGACCGGCCAAGCACTTATATGAATGGTGTGAAACATATCCGAAAGTGATACAAAAGCGAAGCGTTCATATCACGCAACGGTTCTTCGCAAGCATTTTCGGGGACTCAGCTGCGCCGTTTCGCGAGGCAAGACCGCAAGCACTTTTTAATCATTGCACTTTTTACCATACCTACCGCAAACCTAACTTCAGAAGATTACCACCTATTGAGCAAAGCGTTAACTACTATTTTCGGATCATGCTCCCTGGGGGCCGTCAGTGCCGCTCATACCTGTGACTTGAATGTTGACGATCACCGGATTCAGAATGGAACGTGATGCGGTCAGAGGCTCTGATCGCGTCACGCGCTCTGATCCAGAAGACACCTGTCATATGCTACGACATTATCGCAGCCCATCAATTCAATATCAGGCTGTGTAACGGTGTCCACATCGCGTACGCACCCGGGTGCAAGCTCACGATCCTGCATTCAAGCCTGCCTATCCACGCTGCAGTGCTTTACCGGCTCCAGAAGAAACGGAAGCAGTCAGCAGGTGTAAGCTTGTAGCAACTGTTCTTGAAAATGAGCCTGAACAACTGTTTTTGAGAACATTTACGCGGCAAGGGAACAGTGCTGCTGTGTACCACGGAAAATTCGAGCAAACTTGCATGAAAATTGCACTCTCTTAGATTAGGACAAGAACTCACTGGGTTCCGGTTTGGGGATCCACTGGACTAGGTGCGCAGTGCGCCATCTGCTAGCTGTGGTACCACGCAGTAGCGTCACCTATTCTCCCTACCTGCTGGCCACCAGGGCAGTCGCTTTCCTGCCCTGGTGCTCTTCATTAAGTGCAGGCAGGGTCAGGTTTATGCAGAGCTAGTGAAGATAATCGTCCATGATACCATGTGTTGCAGAATCCGAATGATGATAGTCTTCATGAATAAATAGGTAAATTACCTAGTTCGGAGGCAGCCCACGATCAAGAACAAGCTGTTCGCTGCACGACTGACGGTACATTTGCACTGAAAAATGCATCCCTGTATCCCCCTCTAGCTAGGCCACTGCGGTCTATATCGGTTCTTAGTTTGCCAAATTCGTTGCCTCCTACTGAAATCTTCCGCCTCCACGGAACTAAAGCTTCATGGCTGCTCGGTAGGTGTCTCTGACCACCTCTGTACCACACTTTCAAATCTCCGCCCGCCCCGTCGCTAGCCGGAACTGTCGATTGTCATCTGGCGGTAGGCGGCGATTTCCGGCCGGCGGCCGCCAGCGGGGGAGAGGGTGGGGAGGGGAGGGGCTCAGGCCCTCTTGCCGCCGCAGAGCACGTGCGCGCCGCTGGTCTCAGATTGGCGCTGGCCGGTGTATCGATTCACCGGGCCCCGTCTCGCGCGGCGCCCGCGGGAATTTCGCGCGTCTTGGCGGAGAATTACGGCGCAGGGGCGGCGCGCGGCCCGGGGAATACAAAGGTGGGCGCTGATTACCCGGACTAGAGCGGAACGACGCAACATCGCTCTGATGATATTCCTTCCTCCGCCGCGCTGATGAACCCTGCACAGCAGTTCGCGTGGACGAAAACAGCAGGGCTTGGCCTGGAAAACCCCTGAACCGCCTGAAGTCACCTGGAGAGTCCGAGTGGTTCGTGGAGCTCACTGTCAGCGCATTTGGGCGTACTTTTGAGCCTGATGGGAGAATTTCTGCGTTCAATATGCATCGCAAGTGAATGTCTTTCCTGGACTTCGGTTGCACGGCGCTATCTTGTATAAACTCTTATGAATGTGAGCGTTAGAGCTTTTAAGACATCCTTTGGATGCCGATTTTTGATGCTATATATATATATATATATATATATATATATATATATATATATGGCATCCATCATCATGGTATCGATTTGCCAGCAAAGCCTATAGGCTTTGTCGGCAAATCGGTATCCAAAGAATGCCTCAAGTTGGTGATTTTCTTTAATCGCTAACCGTTTCACTAGGGCAGAATTAATGAAGGTATACGCGTGAAAAAGTGGTGTAAAAGATTTAAGTTGGAAGGGCGTAATGCAAGATGTACACGTGGAGAACATATTATGTATGCGCGGCATTCATGTATCTAGAAGCCAGTGCGCCACATTTGTGCATGCATAATAATTATATTACATCTTCGTTGGTGATTGTTGATATGTTTGCATGTTTTTTGCATGCTTATTCGATGTTTGACAATGGTGTTGTCAAAACTGTAATCCGAGGATGGCTGAGAACAGAACTTTGTCTCTGCCATTTTTAGATAAAGTTTGACATCATGAGACTGACTTTTCATGCCCCCGCATGTTCATATGCAATTTTATAAATGGGTTTCGCAAATACGACACTCCTTTACATCATGCAAAACGTAGTCATAGAGAGCTCAGCAGTTTAAAACACACTTTGCCCAGAACAGAAAATATACTTAGCAAAAGGCAATCAATGCCAAGGCTCGTCAAGATGAAAATGGTGTGATGACCCTATCATCTGGTTAAGCACCGTTCGAGATATTTAGCATTCGTATCGCCTCGGGTTCGGAATGTATTTCATGTCATCGCTTTCATCGGGGATATTTGCATGATCTCTTCGATGACACATGCATGCTTGTCGTGCACGTCTTCTCCATTTCTGAGCCGCCCGTGATCAATGTAATGTTTTATCAGATTTAGCACAACCTACTGACATGATCCAAATATAGGATATGAAGGAGGTTTAGCGACAATTGCGCTGCCCTCGCTTTTACCGACTTTTACCCTTACCGAACATCATCGTAAGTTACAGCTGTTCAATTGTATGGCCTCATCCAAAATCTGACAAAAGTAAAATGGTCATGAGCTTTTCCAGGAGGTATGTATAAGGCGTGCGATTGTTTTTTAACAAACCGGTTTTGGCGGCAGTCCCAATACAACACGTGAAGCGCGGGTAGTAATCAGGTGTGGCAAACGATGTCTTGGAGGGGAGGGTGGGCAGGTGTAAGGAATTGGCGGAGAGCGTGAATACGCATGCTTCCACAGGTCAAGGGCGGGTCCAGGCATGAATGCTGACCGCAAGGGTCAA